GCGTTAGTTAAATGAAGGATGAATGAAAACAAGAGAAACATTGGGACATCAGATTTAATTTGACATGAAAACAGAGTAAGCACTCGGGCTGTGACCTTTCACCTCATGTAGTTATGTTCGTCATTAAATCTCAGCGTGCTAAAGTATGCTCAGGAAGTGTCTTCTTAATATTTTAATTCTAGGATTATAAAGAAAGGGTTCTAATAAGTCTTACTACAACAATAAAATATGTCTGAACACAAAGTCCTCCTGCATGAAAAAAACATTTCATTAACTCAAACAGCTCCGTTGGGACACAAAGCGTCAATTGATGATGATTTTAAAACTACAATTGAATAAAAAAGGGAACCAGAAATATAGAGAATTCAAAACTTTGGAGGGGCGCTGGTAGCCTAGCGGTTAGTGCGTACACCCCATGTACAGAAGCACGGTCCTCAAGGCTCGAGTCCGACCCGATGCCCGTTTCCTGCACGTCATTCCCCACTCTTTCTCTCTTACACCGATTTCCAACTCAATCCACTGTTCTATCTCTAAAATTAAAGGCCTAAAAAGCCCAAAAATAAACCTTAAAAAAACGCAGGATTAGATTTGACAAAAGGAGAATAGATAAAACATTCTGTTAAATTGAAACATCCTTGGAGGCTTGAATTAGGAAATGATGAAAAGGAAGTAATTTCTGCAAAATGAAGGCAGACCAAGCGGGCTGAGTCAAATTTAATTTAATGTTAATTCTCTTCAGAAACTCAAAGAGGGTTTAAGTACAAGATTAAACCTTGGAAAGATAAGCACTCTATTGTTGTCACTCAGAGTTTGAAAGTCTCTCAACTTAAGGAACAACAACAGCGACTAGTAACTTAAAAGTGCATGTGTGTGTATTTCAGCCTATGTGTGTGTAGCATGTTCAACAACAGAGTGTAAAACTGTATTTCCCCTCGCTGGATTAGTGTATCTTCTTCTCCTCGTCAGAGCTGTTGCACCAACAACTGCGGTCAACACACCCGTTGCTTTAAGATTTTCCAAGATCAAGTTCAAAACCCGAGTCGACACAGCTGCTCCCAATCTGTGGAACAGTCTACCTGTGAACATCTGCTCACTCCCTTAAAAGTTTTGAATCATTGCTCCAGACACGCCTCTCTGTGATGGCTTTTAATCCAAGTTGAGTTTGACATTTGTGACACTAACTTTCAGCCTTTTAAAGATTTTAAGAGTAAAGCTTTCCCTTTTTAGTTTGGTGATCTCTGGAGGCTTTATTCTTTGATTTTCATAGCAAAACCATGCTTGCTTTTCTTTGACGACACCAACAAGCTGTATAAAATACAGATTAAATGTGAAACATACCTACGAGGAGGCCCGTGTATCCCTTAGCTGGGTCATAAGGACACCTATCTCTGCCCTCGTCAAAGCCTGAGGAGAAGCTGAAGCGCTCTGCATCCTGACACAGGGAGAAAAAGAGAAGCACGTCCTGATCATTTCATTATAATTCCAGACCAGTCATAAACCTGCTGCAGTGAAAAATCACAGGAGCTCTTACAATATAAGCACAAAGAGGTCTGAAGGCGTTTGTCCCGCAGGCGTACAGGTGAGTCTCATTGTACCGCTGCAGGAAGCGGATGTGATTGTAACACTCTGTCTGCAGAGAAAGCACAGAAAGGAAACCAGTTATTTCTGGCTCCACAATTAGAGAAAAGCTGGAGGGAACTCAGGCAAGTCAATGCATCACACGTTCAGGAACTACATCAAGCCAGGAGTCGGAGAATTAGCGCAATATTTTTTCTCATATTAGGAAAAGAAAAGCAATTACAAAAGTAGAAAGCTGTCTAATTTCAAACGCAAATGGCACTTTAAATTCACAAGCATTTTTTTGTCTCCAATGTTTTCTAAATAAATAAGAAAAAGTGGCTCATGCAAAATAATACGAGGGTTCAAAATGCAGTTATGTACCTTGTTGTCTCTTCCTTTGTTGAGACACTGTTTCTTCTGCTCGGGGGAAGCATCCCAATCAATCTGCACACAATGGGGGGTTAATAAGGATGACTCAGTTCGCTCAATAAATAGAGAGCAAAAATAAATAACAAGAAAGATCTATGTAGAGGAGAGGAAGAGACAAAGACGAAAACAAGTGTGTGTGTGTTCTGGCTGCGTTCTCTGTGTTCTGACTCTCTTCAGTAACCCGTGAATAAACGCCTGCTGCATTTAATCTGATATCCATAAAAAATTGGAGGGACACAATGGGATTTGTTCAATCTGCTCGAGGCTATTATTAGTGTGTCCTCTTTTTTTAACACTCGGGGAAACGAGTGAAAACTTGTGAGATTTGGTTGGCCGTGTCTTCGTCATTACTCAGCACTCACCGTGAGGTTTGCAGGTGTGGAGATGTCGGAGGTGTTGAGCGCGTACAGAGCTCCTCTCCCTCCCACGTACAGCAGCCCGGCCTCCACCTCCAGCAGCAGGGTGCTGTAGTTCTGGGAGGCGCCGGAGAAACGGTTGCTGCCCAACAGACCTGCAGAAACACACAGCACACGTCACTGAATAACAACCAGAAGATTTCTCTTTCGAGGCCTAAAAGTAAAGTAAAGTGAACTGTTTGATTTAATCTGGAGGTTCGTTTTCAAAGTTCGGTTCAATTCAGTTCGGTTCTTATGTATTAGATAAAACTATAGATCTATGTCAATTACATTGTTAAAGGTCACATATTAAACTCCTTTTCCAGAAGTTTCAATAAGTCTCTGAGGTCCCCAAAACATGTGTGTGAAGTGTCTTGTTCTAAATCCACTCTGATCCTGCATTTGATCATGTCTATAAACCCCTCTATTTCAGCCCTGTTCAGAACAGGCTGTTTTTGTGTCTGTACCTTTAAATATGCAAATGAACTGTGTTTGACCACGCCCCCCTCTCTGGAAGGTTATACGTCTCGGGGCTTTCTCGCTCCATGCCCTATTGTTTACGGTGAGAAGGCAGAACAAACACCTAGCTGTGGGAGTGTCACCCACCTGGGGGAGGGGCTACTGAACCTTTGTGATGTCATGAAGGGAAAGTCTCCAAACGGCCTGTTTGAGCACACATTTTCTGAAAAGTGGAGCAGGCAAAAGACGGAGAGGATGGACTTTTCTCACAATTGTGTGTCGTATTGTTTTTATTGCTTTATCTATTGATAGATATTTCATTATGTATCATATCATATTGATTGTACCATATCCTATAGTATGAATCAGATATCCCTGTAACTTCAGTATCTTTGTATCATGCCGTTGTTGTCAATGTTGCAGATTTAAGATGGCGTTTTTATGTTGCTTAATTAAACACAAGAGCTGTTGTAGTGTATTATGTTCATGTGTCCAGATATTCAAGTATCAAAGTAAGAAAATGTAAACGTTCAGATGTATGTGTGTATGATTCAGCTCTGGACTCTGCAGACCTCAGAGCTCATTGCTTCATTATTTGTTCCAGCGTTCAATAAATGTCCTTGCAACGAAGAAGTCCGTCTCCTCAGAGTCATTGAAGATACCACACCATTCTCTTTTAGTTACGACATCTCTTTTAAGTTTCTCTTTTGAGTTTTCCCGACAAATAAAATGAAAAAAACGTACCACACAATATAAGTTTGTGTCAGTTACTGCAATAAGCGTGTGAACAAAGTGTGCTTGAGTTGTCCCTGTTGTTACTCTAGAAGCCAGAGGATTTATTCTGAGCTTCCTGGGGTTTAAGTTCATTGGAAATCTGCCTCTTGCAAAGATTTGGTGCCATTGTGCTAATTGTTAATGCGGTTATCTCAAGATTGTGAGTTAATTATTTTTGTTATCTTGTAATAATTAAATTATTGAAACCTGTAATCGTGAGAAAACGGTGTTTCCTTTTTATAACTTTGAATACTTATCAGAGATCAGCAGCACCATGCTCGCATGCATAAACGGCTTTTTATAGCAAATTAAGCTCATTGTGAAATTAAGCATGAAGACTGTGTCGTGTTTTCTTGTTGGTTCATTGTTTCAAAATTCATTCATATCACTCTCTCTCTCTCTCTCTCTCTCTCTCTCTCTCTCTCAGCTGTTTATGGGCGTTTACACTTTAGTTAAAACCAAACAGCTTTGGCATGGCGTTAATCGGCCAATCGTCCTGCTGCTGTCAACCCTTCAGTCTGTTCTCCTCTCTGCTGTCAGGTTGTCATTTCTTTGTGGATCTCCGCGACCCTCCTCCAACCCCCAGTCACCTCCAATCCATCTCACAAGCGTCCGGGTTAACGTCCACCCCTCATCACTTCACCCTTCAACCACCAGCGTCTAGACTCCATCAGGGGAAGATCCTATCCCGCTCTCAGCTTTACTCCCCCTTTATGAATTCAGGTCTCAATGGGGCCAAAAAACCATTAAAACATTTCTCATTAATTTGTAAAATGAATAAAATGTTTGGTAATAATGCAGTCTTTACTTCTTCAGCCTGCTACATGCAGCTCTGTGTGTCTGGGATGTTTTTTCTTTATTTGTCCTTGGCTGTCAGTTAAGGGTAAATTCTTTAAACGCCACTGTTTTTGTTTTTTTAAATGTGGAGTGGTCATTTCATGTTTTAATATCTCACAATGATAGGTGCAATTTCCCTCAAAGGATTAATAAAGTATCTATCTATCCATCCTCTTCCACATTATCGAGTTCTGCATTATTATACACAATGATCTCAGGAAAAAAAGGTTGAAAAATTCTTTTGAAAAGCAATTTAGCCACATCAAAAGAAAACAAGCTTTACCGTCACAAGATGATAATAAAATAATTAGCCAGATATGTAGAGACTAACAGTTGTTACCACAGCTCTTCTCAGCTTTCATACCCTGACTTTATAGATGGAAAAATTATTAATTTCAATGACAACTGATGTCATACTTTGGGACATTTTATTTTACTTTCTTTGGAGCGAAGTTCTTTTTGTGCTGCTTGTGTAAAAAAAAAAAAGAAGCATGGATACATTTTAGAAGTTTACCAATTCATGAAAATAAAAAAGTGTAGGTGTGATTCCTATGAAAGATAAATGTTTCTGTGGATGTCCATAATGTGCAAACTAAGGCATTTAAATAAGTGTAGTTTTGGGATTAAAACAAAAGTACCATTTGTAAAAAAAATGTATGCAGGGTAGTGGTGTGTAAACAGCTCCAAACAGATGTTTGAACAGATTTGTATAAAAGCTTCTATCTTGTCTTTTGTTCACTTCATTTGGCTGTCTACTCGCCGTTATATTGTATAGTTTCTGCTTATAATATGTCTACACTCATGCACTTTAACTTATGTCAATACTGTCCATTTATGACTCTTCTTTTGCACAATTACATTTAATCTTCCATATTTAAGAATGCTAAGTTAAATCCTGGTTGTATATATTCACATTCTTAGTTTTGATATTTTTTAGTGCTTATTTACTTTGTATTTAATATTATATTATGTTTAAATTTGATAACATTGTGTTTTTTACTCATATTGTGTGTTTGGATAACCTGCTGCTGTACCATGGTAACCTGCTGCACCATTTTCCAGTTTGGGATCAATAAAGTAATTCTATTCTATTCTATTCTATTTTACACTTGTATGAAAATCCACACACCCCAAAGTGAGCATGCTTAGCGTGACTGCATGAGGGTGAAACTCGACAACACGTCAGGGAGACGGGGGGGGGGAGGTCGCTGGAGTGTTCGCTCAGAAAGTGGGGACGGGGGCACACGGGAGGCAAAATTTGAGGGCATCCAGCAGGAGCCGTGGCCCAGTAATGCCAAATCGCATCAGCAGCTCTGCCACGGCATCATCACTGCTGCTGTACAGCGTGTGTGTGTGCAAATGTGTGTGTGTGTGTGTGTGTGTGTGTGTGTGTGATGAGGGTGATGGAGGAGGGAGGTTCAGTCAGTGAGTCGAGCAAATAAAGGGTTCGCTATGCCAATGAGAAGTATAACATGACAGTAAAAGTGGATGTTTTTTTTTTTTTTTGGTGGTTGATCTTTTAAAAACAGATTATTTGTCCGTCTGAAAAGATCAAACTGAAGAAAAACATTCAAACACTCACAGTCGGATGTGGCAGCTCAGAAACGGGGGCAGCTTGCTCTGCTGCTGTGAGACAATAAAAATGAGGGCAGTGTTTTTCTGGAATATCTGTGAAGACGTAAGTTTGCAGAGCTTTATTTGCTCTCAAAGTTCAATTCAAATGTCTGATTACAGAAAACAGAAACAATCTCTGATGCAGAAGGAACAAACGGCATCATCAGTGTTACGCTGCAGAAAATGAGTCAGCATGGAGCAGATGGGCGTATTAATCGCCACACATCCTCCCTCCCTTTATTGTATTTTTTATTTCCGTTGTGAACTGAAGGCAGCATGTGCCAGCTCTCTGTAATGAGACATCCTATATTTGTCCCACACCGATCGATTCGCCGTGGTGTAAAGGGGCCTCCTCGCTTGTCCTTGTTCATTGTCGTTCTGATGGAGCGAGACGGGTGCCGAGCAGCTGGGAGGGCGAGGGGATCACAGGGTTTTAAGAATATCCGGCAGTGCAAGCTGAACTATGGTTTCATTTCACAATCCATCGCTCATAAAAGTCAATTAAACAGGTCTTAACAAGTTCAATGGTAGGTCGTAACATAATACACTTTTTTTTTGTTTTTAAGCAATTATCAAAAGCATCAACCACAAAAAGCTGCAAAACACTGACTTCTCACACACTGACTCATACTTTCCATGACTTAAAAACTGAACATTTGAAAATGGTGGCACTCCCCTTCAAATCAGTTACATACACGATTTTGGAAAATATACACTCCTGAAAATATCAGGAGTATTTCAGGAGTTTTCTGCATTTGTAAAGTAAACATGCAAGATGACGAAATAGGTTGGTAACATATTCGCTGAATCTAGCTTCTTCCAGCTTCTTCCAGCTCAGCATGTTTATCCAAGACGAAGAGTTTTGTCTCATTGAATTATAAAAAAAAAAAAAAGGCATAATTTCCTTTTTGAATCTCACTATTCCGGTTTTCTCATAGACTGTACATGAAGACGGACAGAGCAACAGCCCGCCTGGTAGTGAAGCCAAAATATTTATACTTTCTGTAAGATTATGTCAGGTGGTTTAATGCTTGTCGTTTCATTTTAAGACAAAATTGACCAGTTTAAGTTTAGGAGTTATGTTAAAGACCGTCAGAAAATGTTGTAAAACCAGCGAAAGAATCCTCCCAAAACAAATGCGACTGGACTCCCTGTGTAAACAAAACAAAGTTACGAGAATTCAAACACACTCCTGAAGGCTTTGACTCACCTCTACTCTCTGAACCTATCTCACTGCAATAATTCACATGGTATTATTGATGGTAATGAGGGTGACAGCGTGTCTCGGTTGGTTGGACTTGCGTAATGATAAACATGACGAAAACTGTTTCAGAGCTTCCCCAAACATCACATGGGAGGCGTTTTTCCTCCCCCACATGTCGACATGCTTGTCTGACTGTCACATGGACGCGCCGGGTGAGCGCCCGTCAAC